TGACTCCAATCTCTTTGGATAATAATGTAAGCAATTATTTGTAAATAAGATTAAGGAAGAAATTCACTGCACGCTTTGAAATTTTATAAGATTTAAATTAATTTAAAATTTTTCCCAAAACTGACAATTGTACTTAGGACTCTTTATATTTTCAATAATTATTATGTTTTCAATTAAAACCAAGTATAAAGAGGGACGATACCTAAATTGCAAATATTTGTCAATCTATGGTATATGATTTAATAATTTGTGATCATTCTTATTATAACCATTATTAATATAAACTCCTTTTCTCTGTGTCTAGACCCTAGTCAAATGTGTTGATAATGTATAAGATTTAAAAACTGTACCCTAATATATTAACCTATTCATTTGTTTACCTTAACATCGTGTGAATTGTCTCGTCCTTTTTTAAAAAAAAATATTAAAATTATTAAATTCAGATTTAGTCTTGTCAGATGAAATCAATGAAAGTGGATTAAATATCTGTACGAAATAGGAACAGCTCGTGGGTTTCCTACAATATCCCGTCTCAGATATCTCGCTCTTCATAACTCATACTCGTTCAGAATATATAGCTGCCTATATGCTGTTTTAACCCCAGGGTTATCTAAACCTTAGGGCGTCTTTGCGTAATAATATGCAAATCCATTGACTGGTTCCAGTCTTTTATTTATTATCACAGATTGAAATCCAGTACGAAAAGGGGGTATAAACAATTAGACTATATAAGGCGGTTCATTTAGTCTTGACCTGCAGACATGTATTGTGAAGTGGTAATCCACTGTGAGAAATATGCTGGGATATATTTCGATGAAGCGATACTGTATTAAAAGGGTGAAATCGTCGAAAATGGCAGAGAACTCTTACACAAATTGAAATACGTGAGACAAAATAGAACCACATCAAAATATTATGATACCATATGGAAATATCTGCGCAAGTTGCAATTTTAAAGAAAAGAAAAAGAGTACATGAAAAATAGCAACAACAAAAAAAAAATGAAAAATAAACTCAGTTAAGTAAGGAATACTGTGCCGGTGTGATGTACACATGATGTAATTTGATAAACAAGGTACGCCCATAATCATTGAAGTCTACTGTAATAGTTTACATGTACTTTCGAAAGTGGCTCTTGCGTGTTCTGATTTACATTTACATATAAATCGGTTATTCTTTAATTTTTAAATTCTTAAATTACCTCGTCGATGATGGAGACCAAACAAATCATTTGATATCCAGTCTTCCTTCAGGTTGACTTGAGAATAGCGGTTGCTTTGAAATAAAAGTCTAAATTGTGCGAACAATCAAAAAAAAAAACAAACCATACAGACATAAGACCAGACAATATGCACCAGGTGTTTGAGCAGTGTTTATTCACTGGACTTATGCATTTTTCACAACTTTAGGACACATGCTTGGATCTTCATAAATCTTAAGTCTTCTTTCATATTTTTACCTTTTCATCGTGTTTTCTAGGGAAATAAAACGTTTACATAAAACGTAAATTTGACTAGTTTATGGAAAAGCTATATAAATGATTGGCTGTGACCACGTCATTACTTGTTTACGCTTTTGTAATACCCGAGTATGATTTCGAAATCACAAGTATCCTTCGTGCATGTGTACATGAAATGATGTATTAGCTTGTTTTAAATGCTCAGTTATCTGTAAGAAACAGACAATCACAGTCATAGTCAGTCGTGGTCGTAGTTGAGAGTCACTAACATCTTATAGACTTGTAATACCTTAAAAAGGTATTTCTGTACTGTAAAGAGTTGTTCTTTCATACGTATGATGAACAACATGCCTATTGTTAGTAGATGTATTTCATCTATTTTCTAAATAATTATTTTCCATGGAGAACAACACTACTGGCCTTGGACAAAGACATTTGCTGAAATTATGTGTAAATTGGAATAAAACAATGCAAATTATGAGTCAGTGAAAATTCTGGACATTTGTGGTAGCCTTCGTCTGACGTCGTCATCGTCCATCTTGGAACGGGATCGAGATTAAGACTAAGTCAATTTAGAACTGTTTATTCATAGGACTTATGCATTTTTCACAATTTTAGGACACATGTTTGAATCTTCTTCGTAAATCTTAAGTCTTATTTCATATTTTTACCTTTTCATCATGTTTTCTATAGAAATAATTTTTTGGTATTAAAATTTACTAAGCTTGTTGCAGTCACTTTTTTCTTTGTGTTACATTAAACGAGCCGATACGTGACATAGTCCATATTCACATACATTACAATAAACTACAACAACGTTATTTTAACAAATTCTTCTACAACATCTTTTTGAATCATTTATTTACAGCCCCCACCCACCCTCTAAAAACATGAACATAACGAACATAAGTTCCACTGCTGTATGAAGACACCGGCTAATAGTCTACACTGTCTACAGCATGTAACTCAGTTACAATTTGTCAATCCGATGTATTGAAACAAAAGCTTAATTAAAATCAACGTTTAAAGTTTTCTGAAGATTAAATACTTACGTTTCATTCTGATTTATGTATCTTACAATAAATTAAGTGTGTGTGTGTGTGTGTGTGTGTGTGTGTGTGAGAGAGAGAGAGAGAGAGAGAGAGAGAGAGAGAGAGAGAGAGAGAGAGAGAGAGAGAGAGAGAGAGAGAGAGAGAGAGAGAGAGAGAGAGAGAGAGACTGTTCCTTTTTTAAATAACTGTTTTTCAATGCATTTTTTTGAGTGGGTTCTTTTTTAACTTCCATTTGCAATTATTGATTTCACTAATTTCGTTCCTTCTTACTGTTATGTCTTTATTTATATATCCGATCCTTGACACCGCTTAGTCTTATGCCAGCATATATGCCTGGTTTAGACGTAGAAGTGACAAGCTGGGTTTCTAATTGTGTGTGTGTGTGTTCGTTTCCCTGTCCACCAAATATGTTGTGTGTTTTCATTACTATAATTTTGCAGGGTTTATTTCTTGGTGCTCATCGTGTTTGGAGTTTTTTGTTTATCCCATAAGCTTTGGTTACTATTTTTATTTTTTTAAATTTTTTTTTTGGGGGGGACCAGACAAATGCTCCCCCGCACTTACCCGAAAAAAATATCTAAAAGGTTTATGTATTTTTGTTTGCCCCATGATGTGTTGCTATGGTTATATATATATATATATATATATATATATATATATATATATATATATATATATATATATATATATATATATATATATATATATATATATATATATATATTGATACAAATTTTTTTAATTTCCATTAAATTTTGTTGGGGTATTTTTTGCCCCTAGTGTCTTCTGAAGGTTCATTCTTCCGATACGGCTTTATTTCCCTTATCGGAGTCATTCCCCTTTATATATGAGTTAACCTTGGCTGGAGGTTCCCTATGTCCTGTGTTTGCTATGTGTATGGTGCTTTTGTATGTTGCTATATATTGTTTTCCTGTTAGTACAGCCTACTATTCTAAATTCATCCAGTTTTCTACTCTATTATATGCATCTCATTCTTCCTATTGCACTCTCCCCTTCTTTCATTCTTTCTTTTATTCCATTCATAGATGCATATAATTTGTTAATTTATTTAATTTATTTTGTCTTAATTTTGAATTTAGATGTCAGATGGTGTACTTCGACTTATTTAAAATTTTAAATCCTAGTGTTCTTGCGTGTGTTCGTAATGTTCCGTCTACCTTATCTAATAAAATTTTGTTGTTCGGAGATAGGTTCACAAAGTTTTTAAATCCGTACCCTACCTCCCCACATTTTTTAAAAGTTCTAATAAAAAGGCCGTACAACTTTTTTGTGCAAGTCCACACATGGTGTTTTCTGAGGCTCTTCCGTAGGCCTGCTCACTTCGAGTGGCGCCATGTGATATTGCCCTACGTTGTCATTGTCCCTTACTTCTTCCATGCATGGAGTTACCTGTAAAAGGAAATATAGTTGAATATTATATTTACTTAAATAGAGTTAAATAAAAACTATCTTCTATTTCCTTATGCTGATTATTTATCCACATGAGTGGACTCTCTCTCTCTCTCTCTCTCTCTCTCTCTCTCTCTCTCTCTCTCTCTCTCTCTCTCTCTCTCTCTCTCTCTCTCTCTCTCTCTCTCTCTCTCTCTCTGTGGACTTAATCTCTCTCTCTCTCTGTGGACTTAATTTGCCTCACAGGCAGAGAGGTATAATGCCACAGCCATCGTTAAATACACAAAAGTTTTCGAAATTGGCACAGGAATGTTTACTTTTCGACCGGGCCATGCAATGGAACACGCTAATTACAGCTATATGATCATCACTTACTATAAGGTTCAATTCCGTACGCACTCATGACCAGAAGTTTAGGCTTAAACTAGTTTAAAAAATGAAAACAAACATATACCATGATAATTGCTTTGAACTATGTGTGACTCATGGAGTTTGTATTTACATAATCACTCTATTCTCCCGTTTAAATAAGCTACACAAAGTATTCCATCCAGAAAGGATATTGAAGTTGAACATCCGTTTTGTTTACTTGAAGAAATTAGACCTAATCCATATAACTGCAAGTGCGTGGGGTTGGGGAGGGGGACTATGGTTTAAACCCACACAGTGTCAGATATCCGAAACTAACCTCATTATGAACAACTTCATATGCTTATATTGTGCGGGCCTCGATTTTCTTCAATGGAAAAAACAATGCTAGCTTGATGATGCGTTGACAATCTGACAAAAGCAAATACAGTGTCTCTGGCAAACTTCTGTCCATATGCAAATTATCCAATTGGTTTAATAATGATTCGCTTTTTAAAAATAAGATTACTGAAAGTTTTGGAGTACTACATTCTTTTCTTATGAGCGCGAGCTTTGTTAGGACCAGCATGCCAAAAGCACAAATTAATTTTGATAGTTATATTGCTATTTTGATGACGTGATCAGAACTGCAAGTTGTTTTAAAAAAATTACAAAACAAAAAACAAACAGTTTGCACGATACCTTGTTAACAGGATTACACAGAAAACACCGCTCCAGTTGCCTAGTGGTTAGAGCGTCCGCCTCGTATGCGGGAGGTCGCGAGTTCTATCCTCGGTCGAGTCATACCAAAGACTTACAAAAATGGTACAAACAGCAGCCTCGCTTGACGCTCAGCATTAAGAGGTTAATGTTAGGACTGGATGGTCTAGTGCCAGGATAATGTGACTGGGTGCGACATCATGCTACATGTCTGCGGCATGATGCCCATTGCTAAACATCACTATAAACTGCCATACTGTAGACATTGTAGCGATATAACTGAAAAAGTGTTAAAGCTACGTTAAAAATCATAAACACCACACCAGAAAACACTAAACAGGGGTAATTTGGTTTTCCTGTTTATGTGCAAATGGAGATCATATAATTATATTTTTCTACCATGTAAACGATTTTCCAACCTTCTGGACTTTAAGAATGTTATACAAATTTTCTTCACGACCGTACATGCTCCGATTAGTTGGGTTTTCTATACATATTAGCATTTTTCTTCTTTATTTTTTAAAGTTGCGACCTTAAGACATGTGTTTATATATTTAGTTGTCTAAACATGGAAGCACATAAAACAATCCCTGTTATAGAATAATTCTCCATGTGTTCTAGTTATGGAGTATAATGCCCCTTACGCAAGACTTTCTTTCCTACCCAACTGATTTTCATACAGTAAGCATTCTATGGTTTCCAGACGCTTAAAAAATGCAAATCTTGCTAAGACATTAGCTTCACTTAACTACTATCGTTTCGGATTGAGCATAGCTCCAACTGTCCTTAAGCATTCACATGACAGCTACAGAAAACCACGCACCTTGATAGTTATTTTTACTTCATCTGTTGAACGAAACCGTATAATGTAGTACATTATTATTATTATTATTATTATTATTATTATTATTATTATTATTATATATATATATATATATATATATATATATATATATATATATATATATATATATATACATATACATATACATATACATATATATATATATATATATATATATATATATATAAATATATATATATATATATATATATATATATATATATATATATATATATATATATATATAAAGAATACAAATCATATGGCGAATAACAACCCTCTCAAGCGTACTGGATCCACCAAGGGATCACGTGTGTCAGGGATTAAGTAAAATATATGCAATAAACTGACGACGAACAGTACGAAACTAGTAACTAACTAGCCTAAGCGCTTTCGACTCTTAATGAGTCTTTTTCAAAGGCAAATACAACACAATACAAATACAAATACAGCTGTACAGAAGCCCGGTCGCAGAACACTTCTCCTCCCCTGGCCACACTTTCAGTGATATAATACTTATCGCTATTGCTAACAACCACAGCTGGAGTTCCGAAACCAGGAAGGAAAAGGAATCATACTGGATACGCCGCCTTAGAACACTGAAACCAAGCGGTCTAAACCAAGAAGACTAGAAAATGAAAACTATGCACTAGTAGAATTTAACATTTTCTAAATCTTCTTATTATCCTTCAATTTTTACTATAAGAATAACCGGTATAGAATCAAATATCCGGGATATAATCTGCGTTACATATGTACACAAAGTAAAAATAGATGTCGCTTTGGCTTGTAGACTTTTAGGGAATTATACAACGTTTTCAGTTTCCGCAACTAGTCTATACAAGCTGGTTGTATTTATAGTTTTAGCACATGTGAAGACAGAAATGTAGAGGTTTACAAACACAACATTTTTGTGTTTATTTGTTTGTCGTAACTATGTGTTGTATTTGCCTTTGAAAAAGACTCATTAAGAGTCGAAAGCGCTTAGGCTAGTTAGTTACTAGTTTCGTACTGTTCGTCGTCAGTTTATTGCATATATATATATATATATATATATATATATATATATATATATATATATATATATATATATATATATATATATATATATAATAGATGCATATATAATAAAACTAAATAATTTTGTCAACTTGTAACAGGTTTATTAATTAGGTAAATATATTCAAAATCAGTACCACAGAACGAGTATATAAGCTCCAAAAATTAGCCAATAACAGTACTCCACACTTTGTCTCAGTCTGAAGTTGAAAAAGCTAACAAATGAAACTGTTTTAGAACACATATAGCATTGTTAACACATTGATTCATATCTTAGTCTAGAAATGATGTTATATATAAGTCAGCAACTTTTAAAGTTTTTTGGAATTATTTTTTGTTCTCAACTTCACTAATTATAGAAATTGCCAAAGTATCCTTAAGTATCAATTTTGAAAATGTGCACAAACATCTGCACAAGTTGAAACTTGCAAACGTCGAGCGTTCCTCCAGCCTCATTGGCACTGCCTTTAACAAAGTGTTTGGACGCTAGTTATTTTGGGTGCATCCCATGCATAATGAATCGATTTTCAATCCGAGTATACTGCATGAGAGAGGTCTGAATAAATGTATTATTTGTTGTCGCTAAACATCTATCACTGCATATGGAAATGCCGTCTGAGTGCTGTAGTAGACGACTTTCATAGCAGTTTATTTGTGAAGCTAGTTTGGGAAACAGATTACAGCCGTTGAGGAAACTGTCGCCGCTTCACGAAGGTATTGCTTACCTTGAGGTCGAAAGAAACAAATGCTACGGCCAACCCAAATCAATGATATCATTATTAGTACAGTATACAGTTTGTCTTCAGAACCTATGCTAAATAATGATATCTACCCAACACACATAATTCCTTCAGCGAGATGGCTAGTGTTGAATAAGTGTCGAAAAACTTGATCTGTGTAACATGTTGGCAAGAAACACAAGTTGTGTATCATTTAATTAAATGCAGCATGACTTCTATTCAATAATGTTTTCTACCTGATGCACATTACATCATGCTTTGCTTTTAGAAAATGCTCCGAGATATTTAAAAAGACATTCCAAAATGTCAGTAATTTATCTTGTACGCAATTCAATTGATAAAAATTTATGTAACATTGATAGGTCCCTCTCGCCACGTGTGCATGTTTTTTTTTGTCGGTGTAAACATACAGTTGCATATTCTTTGGTTTATCCATGAGACAAAATTGTCATCTGAATAAGGGAGTATAATGGTTTCAAATTTAGAAGCTACCAAAACAGTCGTGTAACTTCAGTGCTTTAGCTGAAACTCGTCCAGTTAATCTCGTCAAGTTCGTGAATGTGAATTTTTCCCATTGAGCTCCATCGTTGCCATCAACTTTCTGTCTGAGCCCCAAAACATCCGTTATAATGAATGTCATCTCAAAGATTATTTATTGTACCAGCTTTTCATTTTAAAGGTCCGATAAACAGTTACGCAGTTTATTAAATTATATATATATATATATATATATATATATATATATATATATATATATATATATATATATATATATATATATATATATATATATATGAATCGAAAATACAAGATGTATACCTGGGAATCTTTCTGCTGGTTGTGGAATTAAATCAAAACGTGGATCATTTAAACTGAATTTTAAGAGATTTACATAATAAAACCTGCATGAGGTAATGAACCGTATCTCCATTGACGAAGACGAGACACTCTTCCCTTAAGGATGGTTCATTATCGAAATGGTCTCATACCAAATCACTCAAGTTCAAAGAAAAAAATTATCCTAAAAAGAACGTTGCTTAGACTCGTGACGTTTTGAAGCCGTTCTTGCGGATAATTGAAAATGCAATGTATTAAGAAATATACAGTTTGCACCCGTAGATAAGATTAAATACAGTATGCTTTAATCATTTGTGCGGAAGAGTATGTAGCTGGTTCATCGTGACTTGGAATTCACCCCTCCTTCTTTATTTTACCTGACAAAACTGGGAACTGGATGTTCGAAGTAAACTCCCTGGTAAAAGAAAAAGAAAAGATGAGAGAGAGAGAGAGAGAGAGAGAGAGAGAGAGAGAGAGAGAGAGAGAGAGAGAGAGAGAGAGAGAGAGAGAGAGGAGAGGAGAGGAGAGAGAGAGAGAGAGAGAGAGAGAGAGAGAGAGAGAGAGAGAGAGAGAGAGAGAGAGAGAACAAACAACGACAAATGATGGTGGTTAAGAATAAAGAACATATCGAAAGGATAATTTTAAACGGAGGGAGACTGACTCAAACGAATTTCAACTCGGTGCACATCGCAAAAGTAGGCCTACTTATGCGCGCTTCAAAAAGCTGAATAAAACCTATATGCATGCTATGCACGTTATTTAGGTCAAATGCCGTATCTCCTAAGCTAAACTTCGAATATTCAAGTGGTTAAGTTCAGTCTGTTCTAGTTTATTAACGGCATTGTATACACAAACTGTAAACCTTAGGTGTCTTTTTATGTGTATGCAAAGTTTTTTTCTTCTCCAAATTCACTAAAGCTCATAAATCAACGCTGATAACACAATATTATTTTAAATATTCGCATTTAACATTACAATTGACATAAAATTATTTTGAATCATTTGATTATCAACTTAACGTCTGCATTATATATTTTGATACGCTTGGGACACCAACAGTCATAAAATATTGCATCGGTGCTTTCTAGCTTTGGCCGAAAAGATGTCAGCCACGTCTAAAGGTTGTACCAAAAGCTATGTAGACTTAGTCCGTTATTAATAAGAAAGACCAGATTGTGTAATGCGATACTTGTTACGAGTCGAATATGTCCCAAAGAGATAGTATGTTTTGAGTTATTACTCCATGTTGATCCAGCCTCTATTGTGACAATCCTTAGCAGTGATCCTGAACATGAGAATATTTCCATAAATAAAGACAACAACAATAGCACATTGACCATTGTTGTGCCATTCTTCTTTCTCCTTATATAATTATTATCTTTTATGGAGTACGTTATATGGCTAGTTGGTATGAATGTCAAAGATAATAACTAGAACTAGAACAAATCGAAGAAATAAGGAGAATGTCACCTTCATTTTATTAAAAGGAATCACACTCTGAGTATTATATCTCTTTACTTTGATTTCACAAATCAGCTGCTAAATGTTGCTATTAAGCTGGACCGGAACTAGAAATAGTAATTAAAATAAATAGGCCTAGATCA